AAATTGAAATGTTTAAATTGAGTTGTTGGTTCATTAGCCAATTGTCTTTATTGTTTTGTGGGCCTTTGAATTAATTCAAATTCAAACATTAAACGAACATGCAGCCTATAAGCCCACCAGACACATTTACATGTGGAAATACATACAAATAAATAAACAAAAACGAAGCAAATTTATAAACAAAAGTAAATCAAGTTGAAACAATGGACCAATAATTACAAACAGTTTGTCTGACAGTCAGTGCTTCAGACAGACAGGTAGACAGGAAAAGGATTTTTATTAAATTACTGTTTATATTAAAATTTAATCAAAGATAAAGTTATACCTTACCAATGTCTCATTCACAAAAACAAGTTGTTCAACAACAAAATTAATTTATTATCAATAACAATTTGTTAAATTTTTTAATTTTTTTATCTTGAAAGATATGGAAATGCGTTAAATTTATTTAAAAAAATAACGAACTTCATAGTTTGAATATTTACTTTCGCTCTCTAACTTTGTTTTTATTTAAAATTATAAAAACTATTGCATACTTTTAGTAATTTGTAAAGGTGGTGCCCAAACAGACAATAGCCAAAAACCAATGTACATAGCTAATTCAAAAACCTTTCCATAATTATATTCCAATGCTTCTCAAACTATAGCAGAATATTTTGTAAGTAATGCCAATCATTTTTATGTTTTTTATAAAGAATAAAAAATATTTTCATAAAAACTAATATTCTATATAAAAATTAGAATATCCATATTTTTTAATAAAATATGTAAAATTAAAAATTTGAAATCAACTTACATACATTTAGTGGAAATTTGAATGCCCAACATAATCCTTTAAAACTCTTGCTACACCTTCCATTTCCCTTTGCTATTATTTTCTACAATACTTGTTGATTTTTTTGAAGAGCAAAACTTTTTGCTTATTTTGTTTAAAACAACAACACTTTATTTGTAAACAAACTGACACACACACTCACATATGCACTTTAATACGAAAAAACGCAGGAGCAAAATTTAGAAAACTTTAAAAAAATTAACACATACTTCAGAATTTTAATGAAAATTTATTAAAAGCTTTATGAAATATACCTTTTAAAACTTATGAAACACATCCATAGACAATTACTTAAGGATGGCGGCCGACCACAAAATTTTTCATTTATAATTTTTTCATAGAATTTACTATTAATTGTTGATATTTCAATTAAAAACACTTTTCGTCTTTATTATTTATAACTTATAACAAATTTTATGCAGTTAAATTAACTAATTTTATTTATTTTGTTGAAGGTCAAGAATTTTGCAATGTCACTAGAGTAAGAATCAGCCGGCTGCTAAAGAAAACTAAATAATAAATAAACAAAAGCATAAATGACAAGGAAATGAAGTTTCTCAATACAGGCTGACTCAGAGAAAAGAAAGTTTTGCGGAAATTAATTGTTAGTTAAAAGTGGGTGATTCAATTTGAATTTGTTTTGTTTCTTTTGGAAAAAGCGTTAAGTTTGAAATCATTGTTAAGTTAATTAAGTATACAAAGTAAACAGATCTATCTATCTATCTATCTATCTATCTATCTATCTATCTATCTATCTATCTATCTATCTATCTATCTATCTATCTATCTATCTATCTATCTATCTATCTATCTATCTATCTATCTATCTATCTATCTATCTATCTATCTATCTATCTATCTATCTATCTATCTATCTATCTATCTATCTATCTATCTATCTATCTACTATCTATCTATCTATCTATCTATCTATCTATCTATCTATCTATCTATCTATCTATCTATCTATCTATCTATCTATCTATCTATCTATCTATCTATCTATCTATCTATCTATCTATCTATCTATCTATCTATCTATCTATCTATCTATCTATCTATCTATCTATCTATCTATCTATCTATCTATCTACTATCTATCTATCTATCTATCTACTATCTATCTATCTATCTATCTATCTATCTATCTATCTATCTATCGATCTATCTATCTATCTATCTATCTATCTATCTATCTATCTATCTATCTATCTATCTATCTATCTATCTATCTATCTATCTATCTATCTATCTATCTATCTATCTATCTATCTATCTATCTATCTATCTATCTATCTATCTATCTATCTATCTATCTATCTATCTATCTATCTATCTATCTATCTATCTATCTATCTATCTATCTATCTATCTATCTATCTATCTATCTATCTATCTATCTATCTTCTATCTATCTATCTATCTATCTATCTATCTATCTATCTATCTATCTATCTATCTACTATCTATCTATCATCTATCTATCTATCTATCTATCTATCTATCTATCTATCTATCTATCTATCTATCTATCTATCTATCTATCTATCTATCTATCTATCTATCTATCTATCTATCTATCTATCTATCTATCTATCTATCTATCTATCTATCTATCTATCTATCTATCTATCTATCTATCTATCTATCTATCTATCTATCTATCTATCTATCTATCTATCTATCTATCTATCTATCTATCTATCTATCTATCTATCTATCTATCTATCTATCTATCTATCTATCTATCTATCTATCTATCTATCTATCTATCTATCTATCTATCTATCTACTATCTATCTATCTATCTATCTATCTATCTATCTATCTATCTATCTATCTATCTATCTATCTATCTATCTATCTATCTATCTATCTATCTAGTTCTATCTATCTATCTATCTATCTATCTATCTAGCTATCATCTATCTATCTATCTATCATCTATCTATCTATCTATCTATCTATCTATCTATCTATCTATCTATCTATCTAGATACATAGATACATATGTATATACAGATACATTGTACATGCATTTATCTTTTTCACAAATACGTTTTTCATCAATAAAATAAATCACAGTTTAGATATACTCATACATATGTAAGTGGTGTAGGGTATCATACGGTCGGGCCATGTCCAAAACGCGTTTATAATTGACAGATATTAAAGCACTTGTTGATGGAGTTTTCTTTTGTTACTCTTTTATTTTCCTTTGCGCGCAATTTTTGACATTTTGTAACAGAAACAACAACACTTTTCATTTACGCACACAAACTAACAAATAGAACAATGAAAAAATGCCAAATTTAATATTTTAAATAAATTAGCAATAATTGCACAAAAACCAACTTATTTGATCAGCAACTTTGCTTTTAATACTATATAAGTAAATATTTAATAAATTTTAAGAACGCTTTTTAAAGCACTTGGTAATGGACAAGTGGCCAGAGGCCCCAAAATTGCATTTTTATATCTTTTTATAAGAATACTTTATTATTTGTGGAAATTTTCACTTAAAAAACTTTTTTATGTATTTCACATTACTTTAATATTGATTTAATGCTGTAATCACGATAAATTTTTAATTTTTATTAACTTTTGCGGACGCGAAAATTTCTGCGACGTCACTCGAGAGCCGGCTACTAAAGAAACTAAATACATATGTATGTATGTAAATAAACAAAAGCAAAACTGACAAGGAAATGAAGTTTCGCAACACAGGCTGACTCAAAAAAGTTGTGTTTTTATTAAACAGGGTGAGTTTGGGTGGTATTTTGAAGAGAAAAAAAAAAAAACGTTATGTAAACATATAATTTTAACCATTTGGATAATTAGAAATAACACATTTAGCGGATTTTAAAATAAAAATGTTTGGTACTTTTAAACTTTTGTAATAAACTATTTACTGTTGATTTACTATTATTAATTTAAAATAAATATTTAAAAAATTCGTGTAACTTCATACACCAATCATATTGCAAAATTATTTAATGTATCCCAATAAAACATCTGTTTATTATTTTTTTATTTATTTATTTAATAATTTTCTTTATTGATTTAACATTTAACACTTTTTTAAAGTTTAATTTAGGTTGTCTGTATCTTTTACAATAATAATAATAATTTGTAGTTTGTGGTTTTTATCATTGATGTTTTCTTTTCAAATTATATTGTAGTTAATAATTTAATAAAATTAATATTGTATTGAACAGTAATATAATAAATAGTTGTTATTGTTAATAGTTTTATTTTAATGTAAGTGTTTATTGTAATTGTATTCAACTGATACAAATTGGCAATTCATAAAAAGTTTTTAATAATTTTCTTTGATGTCTTTTTGGGGGGTTAAATGCATACTTTGCTATTTATTTGAATTATTTTCAACAATTTTTAAAATTATTTTAAAATTGTTTATATTGCTTTTATTAATTTGGCTGTTTGGTTGTTTTTGTTATTGTTATTTGAACTTAAAAATACTTTAAAATTATAAAAATAAATGTAATTGAGAAATAGTAGTTATAGGTTTGAGACAAGTAAGTTTTTGTAGTTAAATTTTTTATCAGGATTTCTCCTGTAAGCTTAATAGAAATAAAGGTACAAAATGGGCGCGTTTTACATTTCTTATTGTTTTATAAAAATTATAATTAATTTAATATAAAATTAACTGAAATTCGAGTTAAATTTAGGTTATTTAATAAAATCATAAAATTTGTTTGTATTTTTGTTTTCTGTATAGCTAAAAACTAATTGAGCCTAAACACTACGTTTTGTTAACAATTTTTTGTTTAATTAATTGATATTTTAGTTAAATGTATGTTTTTAATAATTGAAAGCATAATTAGAGAACATTATTTATTTTTTAAAGATCTACCTTGAATGAGAAATATTACAAATTATTATATGATAGAAAACACTGGCATGCGAAAAGTTTTGAAAGAAGGAAAGTACTGAAACAGAATCTGGTGTCATTTTAAAAGAACTGACAGTTTTAAATTCTCCTCACATACCGTATTTTAATTAACTGTTTTCTAGCCTTAGGGGCTTTTGACTATTTCATATTTTAAATTTCTATTTCATGGTTTTTCACTTTACTAAATCTAATAAATATATATCTTGTTGTATTAATTAATTGCATGTTATTGTTACATTAGTTTTCATCTTTTGTATAGATCCTTTAGAGGAATTTTCTGTTAGAGTTTGGTGTTTTTCACATCTCTTCATTACATTGCCTCCCTTGGTCTTCTGCTTCCTTATTCGGCACGACATAATAGCGAAGCAAAACGGAACAAACGCATCCAACTGAACAATTTTGTTTCAATGAAATTTTCATCGGCAGTTGAGGTCGTCATGCTAACATGTGACGACGATGAATTCGAGGATTTACTAACGCGCTTGGCATGATTACAGGCGGGAGAAGCCATTTTTATATGTATGAGAGTAATTTTGGTGGTTTAGTTTTAAGCGAGTCGCTAGCGAAAAGGAGCTGAAATTAAGAGAAAAAGAGATAATTATAATTAGTTTAACGATTCATAAACTTTTAAAGAAATTTAAATAGATATTTTTAAAAATTAAATGTTTTATGAACATTTTTCAAAATGTCTGTCGCTTTCGCTTTTATTCTGTGCAACTAATAAATTACCATATTTTTCTTTAATTTTAATATTAAATTTCTTTGTCAGATATCATAAAACACGTCGGCATAATAACATAACTTAAACTAAAAAAATATAAAAACGCCAACGCAAAATGTTTAGTGTGAGTTTTTTTTACAAAATTGACATTTTCATTAAGAAAATTAATTCAGGGCTTAATGTTTTGTTTTCGACTGCATACAATAACAAATTAAAACAGAGCTGTCAAAATTTATATTACAAATGTTCAAAGGGAAATTTTTAAATTTTACAGAAAAAACATTAATAGGTTAATTGGAACCATTCCGATAGCAATGTTTTTCTATTCTATTTTCTACTTATCAAAGATCAATTTGTGCTCCATAATAATTTTTCTCTTACAGTTAAAAATCGTGAGGGCCCTGGTTGAGACTTCTCCGATTTTAAACTTAATATCATATTACGTTGCACTGTTCACGATAATGTTGTAATGTCAGCACGCGCTCAAATTTTTTCTTAAAATGTTGTTTTTAGATCTTACATTTTATTTACAAATAAAACAGTTAATTTGTCATTGTCATTTTTTATGTTTCGTAATATTAATGGAGAAAAACAAAAAAAGTTTAAAAAATACGATCTAATATTTAAAAGACGCCCACATGCCCTTATTGGTATCTCAAATATTCAAATGAATTTAAATATTTACATGGAAAATAAACATACAACGTATTTTAGGGATCAGTAAAAACAAAAACAAAAAATAAGTAACAACAGTATTTTAACTTTGAAAATTTTAAAAATATACACATTTAAAAATTACACGACTTGGTAAAATAATAATATCCAAAGTTTTTCTTATTAAATAAAATTCTATAGAAAAATTAATCATTTCAGCAGACAGATTATTTATTTCTTTATAAATAATTGATATGATTCCAAACAACATACAACAATTCATATGCTGGAAAACAAAACAATTTAATAAATTTCCCTTACACTTAAACAAATTTCTTAGCTATCAATTTGTTAAACGAAAACATTAATAAAAATTACATTAACATTATAATTAATATTATGCCATAAATCTCCATTAACAAAATAATCTAAAATTTAAAAATTGTATTTATTATATATTTCAATTATTCATTTGAAACTTTTCTTTATCAATTTAGTTTTGATACACAATTTTTTCAAGTGTTAATTTTTCTTCAATTGTGTGTGGACACAAATCTACTTGATTTTTCTCAATTTATTTCTAGTTGTCTATGAAAATCTATATACTCTCTGACATTGGCCCACATTTTTATTTATTTCTTATGCTAGAAATCAAAAAAATAAAAACAATTCTTTATACAATTCGTGCATACCCAACAGTTTCTGAAGTTGTTATTGTAAGCCTTTTAGCGCATGCTCCACTGTTCGGGAAATATTTTTTCTATTAAACATTTTCGGTTTGGGAAAAAGGAAATATCCTAATACCTGCCCATGGATCCAAACCTTGTGTATTCATTTCATTTTATAGTCTATAAGATAATAAACGAAGAAATTTCTAACTGGTCACCAAGAACTGTAGGGTTTAAAAAGTATAAAGTATCTATGCATGTGTGTTATGCGCTCAAATGTTAAAAAAAAAATTACACTGCAAGTTTTCTATCAAATAAATAATGACACTTTACAGTTTCTGATACGTCATTTGCAAAAAAAGAAAGAAAATGAGAAAAACGAATGTATTCAAACGCACTGCACTTCAGTGGCAATCTGTTATTTGCACTATTGTGTTACAAAATATATTTATACATGAGTACGTACTAAACAAAAAGATTTGAAATACAGTAGAACCTCGATAAAAATTTAATAAACATCTTTAAAAGAACCTCGCTACCTTGCGTAAACTATAGTTATTCAACAAACAGATGTTTATTGGTCTATTGCAATACTTTTAAATAAATACAGTTTATCTAGGGTTTACTGTAAACTGTTATTTTCATAAATATTAGAACATGGAAATTTTTGTGCCATATATTGTATGACGTTAACCGAAATAACCTTATCAATGCATAAAGAGCTGTCAACTCTCATCTGTTTTTTATATTCTTTTCAGAAAGAGTCAATTTAAATAGAAAATGTATTTGTTTATTTGTATGTATATTAGGGCAGTGGTGTTCTAAAGAGATCTTAAGAACTGATTTGACCTAAATCAATAGGTTTCAAGATGGGAAAATAGAATTGCCAAGTGATGAATTTAACAGATTCTTGGAGGAAAATGCTTTCCAAATGGATATTTATATTCCCCTGACAGCACTGCCAAAAGCGATCGATAAATGGGCGCTGAAAAATAGAAACTCAAGAGAAAGAATCGGATGTTAGAGCTAGATTCGGTTGTGGGTTATCCGTGTCGTGGACTATTTAAGCGTCAATATTTCAAGAAGACGCATAATCTTAAAAAGTTGATCTGAAATGTTCAATAAACTTCGACCATTTACCGAAAATTTCGATTATTAAAATTTGTATTCCAAGCATTTTACTGTGTTTAATTTTTCTCTGCATATACATGGCTCCTCCCTAATACATACATATATGTAAAACTACATACATATGTGAAAATTTTAAAACCCCCACCTCCTTATGCCAATTTTTTTTTGCATTGTCTGTTGCCTTCTTTTACCTCTTATTATTTTTCTTGTTTTCATCTCTAGTTTATGTATTATTGTTATAATAGGGCTTCAATCTCACTTGACAGCTGTTGATTGTTTGAACAAGTGCATTTACACTAGCAGTGAAATAATGTAGGTTAATTTTTTTTAAAGAATTCTTCTTTATTGAAACAAATGGCAACTGATAGATTAAAAAGATGTAACTGAAAAATATGGCAGTTAAAAAAAATTAATATTATATAGATAATTTAATACGGTTTTGGAATCATGATCTAAAGCAAATCATAATATTCAAACATATTAAAAAATTCCCTATCGTGCAGACTGTAGCAGAGACAATTCTATTAGAAATATTAGTTTATCTTAAATATAAAGTAATCCTTTAAAAAAAATACTTCTTGTTGGATATCGTTGCTAGTGTTAACGCAGTTATTGTTATATAGATTTTATTATTATACAATAATGTACGAAACAGTTGTACCCCACCACAGCTCTATCATTTGAAATTGTGTCACTCTAAATATCAAACTGTTTTATTGTTAAATTGTGTCACTGATATGAACATGAGCGAGCGCCATTCAATTATTTATAGAGAATATTATAAAAAAATATATGTAGTATATGAAATTGATAATATTTCCATTTAATAAACTCTAAACAACAATTATATAAACATATATACACGACGTTGTAATTTAAACGATGCCTAAATGTCACCACTGCCACACCACATTATTTCTTCTATAAATATTACAAACCCAGCCTTTAAAGTTTAAACGCAGATTATTGTCGCTCTATTTTGTTTTAGCATTGAACCAGAAAACTACTTCTTTCCTGAGTGTGACCAAAATAAACCAACAAATTACAGAAATTAAATATGTAAAACGTATTTAAAATGAAAACAACTTTTGAGAATTGTTATCAACAATCATAATGGTGTACAGATATTTTCGTTTTTAAAACCATTTATTCAAAATTGGGTTTTTTATTACCGTTTTGTTTGGCAAACAAATCAAACGGAAATGCCGACATAGTGCAGTGTTATTTTGAAGAAAAGGTTAAAATACACTGCAACAAATTAAATGGGTTAGAATATGAATAAAGTTTGTCAAATGTTTTTAAGTTATTTTGTGAGAATGACCTGATAATCTCGAAACTTTTGTAATGACAAGGGGGACTAGTACCGTTACTAGTTGGATAAGTTAAAGTTCAAACACTTTACAAGGAGGGGAACAGACATCTAACGCATTTTCACGATTCTATGACTAGACCCTGGATTAGTCTAGAACAAGGGCTTCAAAGTGGAAGACACTTTTTTCCATTTTTCATCAAAAATTATCTATATACGTCAAAATAAAGTGTGTAGGGAATTCATATTCATAAAAAGTGCAGCGGTTTGGTTTTGTGTGTGAAAGGGTTAAAGTGCAATTTTGCCAAATTTTCATTTTCATGAAATACTGCGGTCAAAAGGGTTCCCCAAATGGATACGGAACATAAACTTATTTAACGTTTTCTTCGATATGCCATTGAAAATTGACTCAATAAAGGTGTTCAATATTTGTAATTAATACTGATTAAAAATGTTTGTTCGATATCTCAATAATTCTGCATTCTTATTGTAATACCCTAAATTAAAAAACAGTGTGACAAATTCATAATATCTCCATGTAACTTAAATATTTACAATATCTACGATTACGTAAAAATTCATTAACTTGCATCAAATAAATGAGGACAACGAAAAACAAACATGTTGATCTTGAATATTATTTTTTCGTAATACTAGTTTAGGGTGTTTTTTCGTAATGGAAAAATTAAAAAAAACACACAAATTTGCTTTGCTGAGCATTAAACAAAATACTTAAGGCCTAACTATAATATGCTTAAACAAACTGAAGTCAGCTTAAGCAACTGTGCGAACACATATAAAATGTATGTGACAAACTATAATGTACTTAAGAGAGTTTCGTCAAGTTTCGTCAAATTTTATTTGCTTAAGCAAAGAGCGATACTGACAGCACATTACGTACGGAATCAATTGTTTGTTTATTATACACAAAGAAAATAAAGAAAAAAATGGAAAGCTAAAAGAAAATTAATTTATTTCAATAAAATATTTTGAAATATGTATTTTTTTTATTACGTGTGTCACATAAATGTGTAAATGGAGCTAAATTGTTTTGAATACACGTAAGTACATTATAGCCACCTAAAAGTTT